TCTGTCCGAAGATGTTTCCGTGGTCATGTGGCCGGCGTGACTAAACACCAAGGCGCACAGAACGCTGTTCCCTTCCCACCGAAGTTGTACCTATTTATCTACTTGCAATTTCTTGATTTCGAACTGCTAGGTTGGCAGGAGCTGGAACTAGAGATGGGGGAGCTCACTCCATCATGCGGCACCCGGGTCTCAAACTGCTGAACTACCGACCTTCCACAGCCTGCAGTTCAGCGTCTTAACCACTTGAGCCACCGCAGCTCCTACCGCAGCACATACCTTACCACAATTTTGTTAGTCTTTAAAGGTGCTACCTGACACTTTTTCCACTGCTATTACAAACCACAACATTCAAAAACCAGTGGGGGGACATTTTAACCTTCCAGGACATTCAATTGCTGACCTAAGAGTAGCAAGTCTCTTACAAAGGAATTTCAAAGGGAGTTTAGAAAGAGAGACTGCTGAATTGCAACTGATAATGAAGCTCAAGACAATGCAAACTCCTGGACTGAACTGAGAACTAGGTTGTTTATCTCATTAATAATGCCTGCTATTGCCATTTGGCATCTGAAATCACTTCACTCTCCAAGATATAAGGACAGATGGACTCCCATTCTACCTGTATCTGAAGAAGTGAGCCGTGACTCATGAAAGCTCCTACCCTGACAGAAACTTTGTTAGTCTTTAAGGTGCTGCTGGACTCTTGCTCCCTTTCACTAATAAGGAATGCAAGCTGTACTGTTAGGTTTCCATATTGCTCTCTCTCTGGCAAGCCCTCTTTAGCATCCCCCCCCCCCGAAGAAGTCTGCAGGCAAACAAAAACAGCTGGAAGACAATGTTGCTGGCACTGACTCTCTCTCTCTCGCTCTCTCGCATGCTCTCTTTAGCTCCCCCCCCCAATGTTCCCTCTAAGCTTTCAACTGTTGTGAGCAGAAATCCTACTTTGTGAAACAAAAAATCTACGAGCAGAAAAGTTGGGAGCAAGGCTGGTTTTTTACAAAAATAAATAAATTAAATTTCATTTTACAAACATACAAACATGAAGAAATGAAAAAATGGAAGAGAAAAAAGAGAATGAAGGAAAAGAAATAAAGGGAAAGATGAAAGGAAGGAAGGAAGGAAGGAAGGAAGGAAGGAAGGAAGGAAGGAAGGAAGGAGGGGAAAGGAAAGAGGGGAAAGGAATGAAGGAACGAAAGAAATTGAAAGAAAGAAAGGGGAAAAGGAAAAGAAAGAAAGGGGGAAAGTGAATGAAGGAAAGGAAGGGAAAGGGTGGGAAAAGGGGAAAGAAGGGAAAGAAAAAATGAAAAGAAAGGAAAAGAAAGAAATGGAGAGGAAGAAATGGAAAGAAAAGGAAAAAAGGGTGTAAAGAAATTGAAAGAAAAGGAAAGAACGGGGGACAGGGAAAGAAATAAATGGAAACAAAGGGAGAGAAAAAGAAATGGAAAGAAAGAAAAGAAAAGAAAGAAAAGAAAGAAAGAAAGAAAGAAAGAAAGAAAGAAAGAAAGAAAAAAGAAAGAAAGAAAGAAAGAAAGAAAGAAAGAAAGAAAGAAAGAAAGAAAGAAAGTAGATGGGGACAGAGGATGGAAGGGGTGGAAGTAAGAAGAAAAAGGAAAGAAAGAGAGGTCCCCTCTAATGGTGGGCACAAATTATATTGCTCAGTTTGGCTCCCCCCCTCGAATCGGGGAGGGGGGAGCCAAAGGGAGGGCTGAAATAACTTCCTGCTCTTTAAATAGGGAGGGCTGAAATAGCTTCCTCCCAAATCTGCCTGTCAGCTGCTGGCTTTAAAGAGCGGGCAGCCATTTCAGGGCTCCCTGAAAGTGGCTTTAAAGGGCAGGCTGCCTTTTCAGGGCTCCCTTTCACTCCCCCCCCCCACTTCTAAATGGGGGAAAGCAAGGAGAGCCCTGCAAGGGTTTCCCGCCCTTTAAAGCCAGCAGCCGGCAGGTCCATCCGCCAGCTGCTGGCTTTAAAGGGCAGGCTGCCTTTTCAGGGCTCCCTTTCACTTCCCCCCCCACTTCTAAATGGGGGAAAGCAAGGAGAGCCCTGCAAGGGTTTCCCACCCTTTAAAGCCAGCAGCCGGCAGGTCCATCCGCCAGCTGCTGGCTTTAAAGGGCAGGCTGCCTTTTCAGAGCTCCCTTTCGCCCGGGGAAGGCTGAGTCCCCCCTGGAAAATTTCAGGTGGGGCCCAGCCCCCGAGCCCCCCCATAGTCTAGGCCTATGTATCCTAAATAATGCTCAGGATCAAACCAGAGCAAGACAATAGTCTTAAGAATGACGGACATGGCATTCAATTAAAAAATCCAGCCAATGGATTTTCTGATCAGAATTCCAAAGCCTACTGAAGGCATACTCATACAGTGAGCTTGGGGGAGCTCATGCGAGGCCTCAATGGGGTGGACTTTGTTGGCTTTGGCATCCCTAGCAGACAGCAGGAAGGCCCACTAACCATTGGCAGATGAGATTTCCTACAGACAACTGCGTCTTCTTATCAAAACTAGGAACTGACCATACTTTGATTGGTTTGTTACCTTGGCCATTTCGTTTAGATAAGCATCAATGAAGTCCCTTGTCTGGGACGGGCTCCAGACTGCTTTGTGCTCTTCGACGATTTCTTTTACAAAGGACCTAATTTGTTTCCAGTTTTTAAAAACTTTCTGATGAGGTCCTGGCAAGTACTTCATTATGGCTGGGAAGGAATTGTACGCCTGGAGAAACAAAAAAAAAAAAACATTACAGAGTCTGCATATGGAAAAGCACACAGAATTTCTTATAGACCCTTCAATCCAGACAGTTGCATACCACGCATGGCTATCTCAGGAAAAGTAGGAGATGATGCTGAGGTGTAGGACAGTGTGGATCCATGGCATTCAGTCCCAGGAAGCGGCTCAAAAGTTTCCGTGAAAGTTTCTCCAACTCCCCAGCAGTTCCGTATGAATTTGATTAATGTGCGGAACATGCGTTACGCTTGGCACCCCTGAGACCACTGCAGCAAGTTTTAGTCACATACACACACACACACAAGCAAATGTGGTGTATGGAACCACTGACTCTCATGCTGATCATCATAAATATATATAAATATACACATATATTAATACACACACACTGACACACACATATATACAGATACAAAGATAGAATAAGAGGTTCACAAGAGGAGGGACCCGCGATACTCGCGTGGGGGGGAGTATTCACCACAGCTCCCGGCCTGCAGAAGCAGGAGACGTGACAAGCCTTCTCCCACTCCCTGTTTCCTATGGCGGTGGCAGCAGCGAAGTCTTCTCAGAGTGTTCCCTGCACATGTTCAGGGAACGCTCCTTTACTTTTGGGGGGATTTAAGTATCCCCCCCTATAGTTTTTTTTACAGTTTTTAGATTTTTCAGCACATCTGGGGATTGCCCCAAATGTGCAGGAGAACCTCCCTGCCCCCCAGGTGCCCCCGATGTGCAGATTTAGATATCCGCATGCGGGGGGGCTCAAGTGGAGGAGCTGCGATGGCTCAAGTGGTTAAGACGCTGAACTGCAGGCTGTGGAAGGTTGGTAGTTCAGCAGTTCAAGACCCCAAGTGTGCCACATGACGGAGGGAGCTCGTTCCACCAGTGTGGGGCCGCCATCGAGAAAGAGTTGATAGACAGCATCACAAAGTTGGAAGCCCTTCCACAGCCTGCAGTTCAGCGTCTTAACCACTTGAGCCACCGTAGCTCCTGTGCTAGTAGACATAGGAGCTAGTAATCGATGGCGGTGTTCTCTTGGCATCCAGATGGTCAGCTGCCACTATAGTCTGAGTTCTTGCCAGGCTATTAGTTATTAGGTTGGTACTGATATTGAGCCAGGGCCACAATATTGGGAGGCGGGACCCTAATCGAAAGCCTGGCGAAAGAGCTCCGTTTTACAGGCCCTGTGGAACTATGAGAGGTCCCGAAGGGCCCTGATGTTCTCTGGGAGCTTGTTCCACCAGTGTGGGGCCGCCACCGAGAAAGAGGTGATAGACAGCATCACAAAGTTGGAAGGGGCCAGACAGGCCATCTAGTCCAACCCCCTTGCTCAACACAGGATCAGCCTAGAGCATCCCTGACCTGTGTTTGTCCAGCCGCTGCTTAAAGACTGCCAGTGGCACAACTCTTCCTGTAGAAAAAGGTTCCCCTAAGATCCAGCCGGTACCTTCCCACCCTTAATTTGAACCCATTTTGGCGAGTCCTCTACTCTGTTGCCAGCGGGAATGGCTCCCTGCCCTCCTCCAAGAGACAGCCCTTCAGAGACTTGAAGAGAGCACTCGTGTGTCCCCTCGACCTCCTCAAGACTAAACATTCCCAAGTCCCTCAGTCTTTCCTCATAGGGCTTGGTCTCCAGGACCTCATTGCTCTTCTCTGGACTTGCTCCATTCTGTCTACATCCTTTTGGAAGTGAGGCCTCCAGAACTGCACACGATAATCTAGGTGCAGCTTGACCAAGACACACATTACTCTCTCTCTTTCTCTCTCTCTCTCTCTCTCTCTCTCTCACACACACACACACACACACATTTTAATTGTACATCATCTCTCCAAAACAGTTTCCTCCACATGCAGCTGTTGGTGTGACCTCAGGTCAGTTACAAGTTCTTTCAGAGCTGTTCAGGTGTCTGTTGAGGGGAGGGGAAGGGAAATGAGATTGTAAACTGCTCTGAGACTCCTTTGGGTAGTGACGGGCAGGGTATAAATCCCTCTGCCACCTCTTCCTCCTCCTCTTCTTCTCTCTAAACATTATACCACATATATATATGTGTGTGTGTGTGTGTGTGTGCACGCGCGCGCCATTCAGCTGCAGTGAAGTTCATGGAGAGCTCAGGAAAATGAAGTAAAGTCACATTGATTTTCCACATGATCTAAAGAAGACTAAATGAAAAGAAAAGCATCGTGGGCTATCATTAGGGTGCCTGAGTGGGAAGTTATGGAAAACACAAGAGAACTGGAGCAGCGAGGAACAACTGAGCTGATGATGTAGGGCAGGGGTCGTTTAGTAGAAGAAGAGCTAGGGGAACTCATTAGCATGACTCATTATCATATGCCACACCCCCTGGCATCACCGGAAGTGTTTCATAAGGCCACACCCCCTGGCATCACCGGAAGTGTGTCATAAAGCTACACCCCCTGCCATCACCGGACGTATGTCATAAGGCCACACCCACCACTCAGTCTTAGTCTTAAAGGTTAATCTTAAAGGTGCTATTTGTTAGTCTTAAAGGTGCGGGAGTAAGCCCCGCAAAGGCCCCCCGCCCCCGCCCCCAATGGTCCCGGCCGCCGCCGGCCTTGCGGCTCCACTGCCGAGCCCCATGAGGGGCCTGGTGGTGAACCTGCAAGGCCGGCGGTAGTGCGAGGAAGCCCCGCCAAGGCCCTCCCTGGCCCCAGGCAGGCAGGGGTGGGGAGAGGCAGGGAGGAAGCAACTTACCCTCCCTCTTCTCCTGCCTCCTCCTGGCTGAATGAGGGCCGGAAGTGGGGCGGCTGGAAGCAGGGGGC